CTGGGTCCCACACCCCCGCACCGGAATATTCTTTCCGCCGGGACAAGAGTCGGTGATGGAAGATGTCCCTAACGGTGCTGCCTCCTTCGACATGACGTTTTGGCTTAGGAACGTTGACGGTGTTGATAAACCTGATCCTGATCTTCATCATCTTCCTTATTAATTAGAAACAAAATTAATATGTTATTACTAATCTTATGATTGAGTCATTGAGAGATGAAAACGTCATGAGGGTACTATATACTACATGTAACTATATTAAATAATCTCAAGGAAATGAGAAATGGTATACGTAACAAGTACAACAACGTTTCATTAATTATGATCGTTTTCGTATGATCTATGATGGATAAAGAGGTTCAATAGTTATTCGTTGTGACTTCACACTTGTGATTATGATCTTGTGTGTGTGCGCGATAATATACGCAGCGACTAATGTGAAAAGACTTTAACCAAAAAATAACTAATGTAAAACGAACTTTTTTTTTAGATGTGCTCTCGTAATTCAACTACATGCATGGATACAAGTGAAGTAAAATAAGATTTTTATATTTTGAATATATCAATTTTTAAAAAATAAAATATCAAAATTGTTTTAGGCAGTTAATATTTTGAAGTAAAAGAAACCCCAAATTCCTCTGCTTTTTTATTGGTACCAAAAACTGTCTCCTCGCTACTACTTTGGTTTATGAAATTTGATGACCACTCTAATGTTGCTTAGAATCTTGCTGAATCTATCAACTGCTTTGTTCTAGATCTTACGAAACAGTGTTGAAAGATTGGTCTTGATTTATTTATTTTAGCTGCATTGATTTACCTTGCTCTGCATTAGTGTTTTCTTGAGAGATTGATTTGGTGCGTATGGCCAGACTCTGTCACTCCCTTACCTTGAATCAGCCTGTGTCCTAGTTTAGAAAACTTCTAGATTTCATTGGTTTTGCTGTTACATATTTAATGGCTAAATCATTCTGGGATTTTTTTCTTCTAAAAATCATCAATTATCCGAATATTTAAATATAAGATGTATGATTATAATTCCAATACTTCTTGAGTACATAAAACCAATTGATGGACTGTTGGTTCTCATAGATAGTCATGTCTCTGGACTTTGTTATGATTATCAGCACATGCCTTTTTTTGTTTCGTTGTTTTTGTTTTTACATTTGATATCAATCCAAATATGTGTAACTCGATTTGATGGAAGCTAGATGGTCTAGAAAAAATTATCATGACCAATCTTCTCTCAGGTGACATCACTATTAGATTAATACTAGTTTTCTAGAGAAAACAAAAATTTGTATGGAATATTACTAGTTTACTACTGAATAATTCAAAGATTAATAATTCAAATATTACTATTGAATAATTCAAGAATCAATTATGGATTTGCCATTTTTTGGGATGACATTTGTGGATTTTGCCCTTTTTTGAATAGTTTATGGATTTTGTCCTTTTTCAGGCTACGGAAATATGATTTAACATGCGTTTTATTCGTTATGTTTGGGTTTAGTCGGTTGTGGTTGTTCTTAGGATTTAGTATTTTGTATAAACTACGTATTTTTACCAAAAAAAATCCGAAATACATACATTTTTAAGTGTTAGAAAATGGCATATCCGTAAGATTTTAGTAAAAATGGCAATTTCAAAAGATTTCTATGAAAAATGGCAAAATCAACAATAATCCCATAATTCAATGATATAATGCTACATCTTAGAAATATTGGCAGCGGCCTTTACTCGGATATTATGATCGATCCTTTTTAATGGTAAGATTGCTGGTATATGGTATACAATATGATAATCAAAATGTAAAATTTGTGGATTCTATGTATATTTATTTTATAGGTGGTGGGCACTCCTACCAGAAAAAATGAAGAGATAAAAAAGAGGATTGTTCAACGTTGGGGTGCCCTTAGATATGGGTAATATTACAAGTCGTCATAGAAATAAATTCAAGAACAGAACTGTCAACATTCAAAATGGCATTATTCACATCAATGAATGACTGAAACCCACCCCCTTTTCATTTCCTTTATTTCTTTTGTACCATCACATTTACCAATCTTTGCCGACAATTAGTTTCATTTTATTTTGGCGTTAAAGCTAGGTTTAGTTTTAAAGTGCCTAACAAGTTTAGAGTTATGTTTTTATGTTTATCTCACATGTTAACTTCATTATCTCAAACATTTCCCTTCATTGTTATTCGAGATATGAAAATGAAGCACAAGAAAGTGATTTACACTTTCATCTATTAACCAAATCACTTTCAACTATTGAGCTCTATCTTCGAGAAATGAGTTGTACTCCTAAACTTATAGCATGAAATTAAGTATATAGATTCATTTACAATATTAATATACCTACAAAATGTAAAGAGTACGGTTCAAACAAATTGTTTTTGTTGGGAGAGAGAGATAGAGTTAAAAAAGATAGATTCCAAAGAGTTGGTGTGTAATAGGATAAAAGACAAGAGGTGAGAGTAAAAAGCAGTCAAAAAACACAGAGTGGCTTAGTGAATAGTGACAGTGCATCAAAGCTTCTACCATGTCTCAAATCATATGCTCTCAAACCTTCCCACGTTCTTTCACATGTGCCCTTTCATTTCTTTCTTAATTCTGTAATGTTATTTTTTTATTTTATTTTTTGGTAGGGATGATGTTATTTTTTTATTATTCTATCTATAGTACATGTATCGTATTTTCCTTTGTTTTTTTCCTTAACAAAAAAAGTTTATCAATCTTGTTATAAGATCCAAGATTAGAACCGATCTTTGATATACTTGTGACAACTCCACAAAGACTAAAATATCAGTTTTCAAGCCAGATTTGAACTTGAATCTGGCAATGGCATGCAAAATACTGTTAAACCAGTTGATCTACTTATTTTTATATAACTATCAAATATTAAATGTATATTACTATCTATTCTATAGATATTAAAACAGCATGGTCTCCTTCGTCGTTGGAGGTCGTTCGTTTGTTTATTCTCTTGAAGCCTTTTGGATTTTATAATCAATTTACATGTAGGCGAATATTTCATTATTTCAAATCGATGAATTGTCACTTGACCCTTGTATTCGTGTCGCTATGGCTTACAAACAACGTATTTAATTATCATCATGTTTACTTGACTAATTTGCAAGGTTTAATAACATCGTTTTCGTAAATATCTTGACTCTTTAATAGGCAATTAATCTAATTGCAATACATGTTTTCTAATCATAAGTTAATTATGCAATGATCTCTAAGTTTGGATCTATATGGACTTTGGATCATAGTATACTATTGGTTTTTATAAAGTGTTTGATACAAAGTAACCGATACTTTTTTCAAAAAAAAAAAAAGGGGTTCAAATTCAAAACGTGAGAGTGGCAACTTTTAACCCTATTGATGTTGAAGTTGGAACAAACTTACTAATCCAAATATCTTTGTTTTTTTTTTGTCAAACCGATCCAAATATCATTTTTAACATGCACATTTATTTGAAAAATTCCTTGTTGTTCGATCACATGCTATTTGTAAATATATAGTTTAAAAAGAAAAATCATAAGAATATGAATTATGATCCAAACTTGATACTTATAAAAAAAAAAATTCCTTTCAAACCTTGTGAAATACCAATGAGAATAAAATTGTTTTTTTCGACTAGCCAATACATGCTCTGAGTCCAATAAGATTTTTTTTTGTATCGCCTCTTTTAATTTATGGTGTAATTAAAATAAACATCCCTAAATTAAAATAGTGTCCATTGTGATGGGAAACCAAGTAGCCAAAATAAAGAAATTCAACACAAACCCTACAATATAAATTTTTCTCTATAAAAAAATCAACACTTTTCAAAAAGACATTTCTCCTCATACTTTTTATCCAAAAGAGAAGAAAAAAAAGGCATATCTTATACGCGAAGGGACTGCGAATTTTGCAACATGAGGTGCCCACTACTAAAGGACAACAATCATGAATCTTATATTCAACAATCCTATTGAAAACATGAAAACGTTAATATTTAAATACTAAAATTCTGAAATATATATCCTCTTGTATAATGATTTTTATTTTATACATACACACACTAGAGAGGAGATACAAAAAAAAAGTAAAGGAGGAAAGCGAAGACAATTGTGATCTGAAAAAAAAAGTCATTAATTTTACCAAAAGCAGAAAGTTAGTCCCCCAAGCATTCAAAGAAGAGTCAAAATGGACCCTCTTCTTCTTCATTTATAAGAGCTTATCCCCACCACAATTCAATTGAATACACCCAAGGAAATATTTAGGAATTCGATGGCGGTTTAAGGAGGAGTAATAAATATCTTGCACCAAAAAAACTCAAAATATTGATGCTAACTAATTGCACAAACTATTTTCGAAAATTGTTAAAACCATGCAAATGGGATCTTGAGTGTAAATAGTCATAAATGTGGCCGTGTGTATGCGACTCTCGAGGGTCCTCTCTCTCTCTCTCTTTCATAATAAGTTGCCAAACAAGTAGGAGCTGAGTTTATCTATCCTATGTTCACATTATTATTACTATTGATTAAACCCCAAAGGCCAAATCCAAAAACAGCATTTTCAAATTATCTTGATGAATGTGAAATGTTACTACTTGTTTAATTTCTCTTTGGCCTCTTTCTTGTTTTGTTAACATTATGTTCTGCACTTTCTTCTACAAGTTGCCAAGAGGATTATTGGATTAGATCATGGCAGAAAGACCAAAGGCATTAACAAAAAAGATTGAAGATAAGAAAAGGTAAAAAAGCCAAACATATCTCCATAGATTTAGATTGAAAAAGAAAGATGGAACAATTCAAGATTCGTAGTTAGGTGGTTGATTAAAACACAAACACTTAATGCTAGAAACTATTAAGTAAAAGCAGGGCAATTCTCCTTCTCTTGCCTTCACCTTACTCAAAAATATTGAAGGTGAGAATTAAATAAATAAACCCAAACTGAAAGATAAGTAAAAACCAAATCCAAACTCCATCTCATTCTCCTGAGATTTTGAGTAAAAAGGATGATTCATTTGGGTTCTGTTTGAACCGGTGAATCATCGGTTAAGCTAACAAACCTGATTCCTAATCGATAAAGCTGCTAAAAGGGGTTAGCTTGAGTTACCGGCATATGAACACATTGCATCTGATCTCTGAGAATCATCATCGGCTAATGCTACCTTCGAGGGTTGTTTGTTGTAGTCATAAGCTCTCTTTAAGCGTTAGACATCAGTATGCCAAACCGGGCGGTGATCTTCAAAGCTACCGTTCTCCAAGGCTGCAACTTTGGCCCTGTGAGCTGCAGACAATGCGAGCGTGTTGTTCTTCCCTCTTTCCTCTTGTGGGTACTCGCAGGAATCGGTTAAAGAACCGGACTTTAGATCAGCTGGCGGTATAAAGCAATCGAGAGATAGACCAGGAACGTTAAACGCAACTTCCTCAATCGTCCAGCTTTCTTCCATCTTTGTCCTCGTGTGGCTCATCGCCACTTCCCCAAATCGGAAAAGTGTCACAACTGAATGTCCCGAGTGAGCAATCATTATCCCTTCGACCTGACGGTAATCGTCTAGGGACGAGTTGTATGTGGTCTCCCAGAAAACAGTCTCTCCACCGTTGGATTGGATCCGGGTCAAATGTGAATCCTCAATGTGAACCAAGAGTCCAGTTTTCTGACTGAAGTAGCCAAAGAGGACGTGCCTTATGATCTCAGCCGGTCCTTCGCTCCTCGCCTTTAGTGTTTCCGGGTCAGTGCATAGCTTCAAAATGAAGCAATCTTCACCATTCACCTTCTTCTCTCCTATACACTTCGCTTCCGCAAACATTGCAGCAGTTGTTCTCGGATCTAGTCCCTGAATCATCCACAAAACACAAAACACTAAGGATCTCTCGAACTACTAAAACGCCCAAAAAGTCAAGACTTAAAAGAGTTTTACCTGAAGTCCACGGCGAAGAGGCCTGACGGGTCCTTTAGCAGTATGAGATCCGAGCCAAGGAGTGTGTCGCCATACAAGCTTGCCGTTACAGCCAGCACGAACCTTACTCCCACCAACAGCAAGCTCAACATACCACATGTCTGGATTCATCTGCCAAAGAACAAAACCTCCAGTCTCAGCCTTAGATGGGTTTCGATTCCTAACAGTTCTTGTAGCGGTTTCAAGCTCAGAAGTAATCATCTTGAGCTTCCCCATCGCATAAGCGTTTTTAATGGAGTTTTGTAGCTTCTGACCACCGGAAGCTGCAGTGAACTGTTGAAGAATATACTGAGCAGATGATGTTTCCTGTAACAAACAGTAAGAAAAAAGTAAAGTCTCAATAACTAAAGTCTTCAAATAAGGCTGAGAAGAAGAAACCAAAGAAGAAAAATCAAAACTTTTGTTTAATACTCTCTCAGTAACTAAACTAAGTTTCAATATTCTCCAATCGTTAGTAAGAAAAATCAAATCCCACCAAAGAATATGACATCAATTTCCACCAACCAACGACCAATGAAAAACATTCTCAAGAAAATAAAATCCGATTAATAAAACCAACCACCACTAAAAAAGATTTCAAATGCAAATCTGAAAAAGCTTTCTAAACCAAATCCCTTGAAAATGGTGAAAAATCTGAACTTTAAAAGGAAGAAGAAGACAGAGAGAGAGAGAGACAGAGAGAGAGTGAGACTAACGATTGGAGTGTTTTTGATACTAAGATGAGGCAAAGGATCAGAGGAAGAGACATGAATAGGAGCAAGAGGAGCTCCCATTACTCCAAGAAGAAGTCTCAGATCATTTCTCCGGTAAGCCGCCGTCGCAGCAACAGACGGAGCACGAGACAGCTGTCCTTTAACCCAGTGACCTAAACCCGACCCGAGTCGTTTAGATTCTCCTATAGTACCACCTCCTCCTCCTTCATCTGGATCAGGACCTTCCATTACAGGTCTCAAACTTCCGGATCTCCCGATTAACTGCTCCGGTTGCGCCAAATAGTATCCTCCGCCGGCTCCTCCGCCTCCTCCAGCTCCTCCGGTTAAGTTCTTTCTCCCCCAAGTGAGAGCTGACATGGGTGAATTAGAACGAGCGGGACTAACGGAACGAGACCTTGCTCTGGATCGTGACGGCGAAAGACCTCTCACAACTTCGTCTCTGAGAGCAGAGAAAAAGCCTTGTTTTTTCTCCATTTTCAAAAACCTCTGCTTTGCTTCTCTTCTTCTTCGTAGTAGTAACGTAGCTTGAACTATACAAAAATGGGTTTTTAACGAGAGAAAGAGAGAGAGAGAGTTGATTTTTCTGAGTTCGCGAAGTGAAGAAGAGAGAGTCTCTTCTCTTTATTTATCGCTTTTTTTAAGAAGAGGAAAGCGAAAGAGGAAGACAGTGATCTCTCAGGGGTGATATTAAATGACCATTTTACCCTCTACTTGTTTGTGGAATTTCCAATTCAGGAAAGCCACGCGCCATCTGACAAGTTCACGCGCCGGTGATATATTCTTTCCAACCTGGCTACGCATGAGGGACACGTGGACGATCAGAGATGGCGAGTGTTGGAGGTTAACGGTACTCGCTAGGTTTTTGTGGGGTTTGCGCCGTTAAGGATGGTGGACGATCTTTTTTTTTTTTTAACAGTTTTCGTTAAGTTTCAGGAATAATAAAAAAGGACAGTGTCGTTAAGTTTCACAGTGAAAAATAAAAATAAAAATAGTAAAGTGGCAGCGGTAAATTAGGAAGAGGACTGTTTAACCTACTTTTTTTTAACCTGTAGCCTAAATTCGATTTGTACATCTTACAATTTCTTTATTAAAGAAAGAAAAACAGATTATTTTGCAATTCTTTTGTACTGTATTACAAAACATTTCTATAAATGTTCTTGTACAAAAATGTCGGCTTCTTCTGATGGTTGGTTATAGATTGTTTCCTGTCAATGGTAATCAATTTGTTTTTTTCTTTCCAATTCCAAATGATCATTTTCATAGGTTTGAATCTAATTTTAAAACAAGAGGGGGTAGTTCTTGGACTAAAATAGGGTGTTCTTACTATTTATAAAAACGTTTACAACGAGTTTTATAGATTCTGAAATTCCTTCTCTAATCTTAATTCACTATAAGTTTTCTATCAACTTAAATATATGTAGTTGATATATCTTATTCTAGACCCTAACAAAAATAACTATACTACATGTTGGGATCTTTAAAGAAATTAAATGTGTTATTCAATCCATTTTTATTTTCTAATTTAACCACTATTTCCATCCCAAAATGCAGAGGTATAACTTATAGGTATCATGTAAAATCGAATGTGGCTAACTAGATAGTAGATACTTTCAAATTGATCATTGATCTTGAGTTCTTTTTTTTCCCGTGATCTTGAGTTCTTTTAAAATAGACCACTAATTTAAATATAGTACAGGATCGTAATAAGTCATGACTATATCTCTAAACAAGTCCTGAGTTTCTTGTCCTGACTTAATAGAGAATACAAGCATCACATGGCAAGTATACATATTTTTCTTCATTTTTTTTCTCAAACTATTGAACAATAGTTGCAAATAGGAAAGAAACATTCCAATCAAGTAGTTCTTTTGCGATTCTAATAAAGTATCTATGTCTACAGTCTACACAGAGGATGATAATTGAAGATATTATTTATTTTACAAATTAATATAGAGATATAAAGAGATTAAATTTTATTATTTGAGTAGTGTGTTTCTTCAAGAGAAAGGAACAAAAAAGAGGTCTTAGGAGAGGTTTCTTCTTTATCCGACAGACAGAACAACCATTTGTGTATGGTTTCATTGGCCAATTGCGTAAAGATAGCAACTCTTCCTTATATATGTTTATATTAAAAAAATGTAATTTGTTTAACAATTATCACTTTCGTTCTGTAATGTAATAATGATTGAACACACTCCTCACATAGACATGCTTAGGGCATTATGTGAGTATAATTTGGCTTCTTAGGTTATACTAACAATATTAGGAGATTCAATGGTAGCTTTAAGAACTGAGATTTTGTATTCTGTTTTGTAGGGGAACACTTTTCATATCTTTTTATTTTCTGCTTCTACAAATAAGTAATGATCAGCTGAATAAAATAAAAGCGATGCCAACAACAACGAAACAAATATAGCTGGTATATACATCATACCCTCAACCTGTTAGGAGAAAATTGTCTTTAAAAATATTTTTATAGGTAATTTCACGTTTTAAAAATAAAATGTGATTATACTATATTTCATTATTCATCATTTTTTAAAGTGATTTCGTTATATATAAAATAAACATGTTAAAAATATAACTACAAAAGTAGTGTAATGTCTTTAATCTATAAAACAATGTATTAGCATCTTAATTATTTCTAATAACTATACTCAGCTAAAATGTTTATGTTATTTGATCATTTGTCTATTCTCCTATTTTACTAATGATATAAAAAAAAATTCTTTCAATCATCGGCCAAATGACTACAGGATTATTGGTCTATTCTACTATACTACTCAAAACTATATATCTTTTAATTCAAAATTGTGTGTCAGAACAATGTTGTTTTTGTACAATATACCAAAATTTACATAAAATTTCAAATTTTAATATAATATTATATAGAATTTACATTTATTTGATTAAATAGATTAAAATTTCTATATTTATAGTGAAGAACAAAAAGATATTCATAAATGATATAATACAAATGTTCATATTTTGTAGTATGTGTGAAATAACTTAAAATAGTACTCCTTTTTACCCATAATCAAAATAATAAAATGTAGTCTATAATAAAACTAAGAAATTCAACTTTTTATGTAGGGCATAACAGATTCTTTTTTTTAAATCACGTAAAATGTTAAAGTGGACGTGGAAAGTATATAAATAGAGAAACTGTATTATTATTTTATTTTTTGCTAAGAAAAAGAAACTGAATTATTAAATTTTGTCAATAGTCAATTAGTAGTAGTAGGGTTGCAACATCCATCTTGATATTTCGTTTGCAAGGAAATAACTAAACCATGAATGTTCATTATAACCTCCATTTAATTTCCTGTGAATATTAATGTTATCATTCTCCTCCCGAACAAAATAATTAACAAAAAACATTTCCAAGAATATTTACGTAGCAATTAATTTCGAACTTATATGTCTCTATCTCATACCATGTGATGAGAACTTTTTAGTCTTTAAGGTATTAATGGCGTAATATTCTCTTTGATCAACTAGTTTTTTTTTTTAATTATTTATTGATTAACGATTGATTTTGATAGTTATACTTCTACCGATATGTTTATACATTATGACTCCGAGGCATGCAATCACACTAGCATAGTAGCACCCCGACTCTAGTTACGTCTGAATCGATTATGTTTAAATGAGGCCTAACCATAATATAGTATACTTCTGAAGGATATATTCTTATCCATAAAATAAGTAAACCATAATCTAGAGATTAATTGATGGAAAAATCCCAAAAAAAACATAATAAGTAAACAATATTGTAACGTTTGAAGCGTGAGAAATAGAAGGACAAGGAGCACGTGAATGTCTTTGAAATTCGTTTCGAATGGTCAAAAGAGCAAAGAAGAGAAAAAAAAACGCATACGCGTTAACTTTTTCAGTGTGTGATAGTGGTTACAGCTAAGGTAGGACTTATTTAAAAGCATATAAAATTTCTGGGTCGATGGAAAAAAATTAAAATTGTCTTGTACAATTAAGAATGACTCATTTGTGTACTAAAAAAAATTCGATGGTAGGGACCATGTGTATCTCTGTAATATTGGTCGTTCTTAAAGACGAAGTGGTTAGTCTTTGTAATCAAGAAAACAATTAATTTTTTTATTAATTCGTTTTATTGGTGGAATTCTATTAGCCCTCAATTAAACTTATAAAAAAGGTTATAAGACGAGTATGAAACCAAAGAATATTGGTCACCCAAACGGCCAAACATATATAGTGGACTTAGATTCTGATAGGGAACCCAATAAGTCAGCAACTAAATCAAGTAGGCATCCAAACAATTACAAGTAGGTATTCATATGACTTTTCAGTATATCTTATACAGAAAATGTTAAAGAGTTAATAAGGATGCATGTAATAGTTGCACTAAACATATATAATTTCCTCAAAGCATAATATTGAACCACTTCAACTCGTATCCATTAAACCAAAACAATTTTCACTAATCATCTAAATCAACCTTTTTCCTTCATTTCATCAGAAGAATCGATTTTTTATTTTCCTTAAATTTGGTTTTGAGAATAGGGAATTCTATACAGTTAAAGAGACAAAGCCATGGCTTGTGAAAAAACGAATATTAGTACATCCAATGTAACCATGCATATAAATTTGTTTCCTTTTCCGAATCTGGTCTACAACGTCACTATATTTTCACCCAGAAGATGTAACTCCTTTGGAGAAAAAATAAAGAGAGAGAGAGCAACTTCAATAAAGCTTAACACGAGAAGGAAATAAAGAAATATCAAATATGCACTAAAATAGTCAAAATACTCAAACTATATGACAAGTGCATGCATGCAAATGCATGTTATTGTTATTATTTGTAAAAGAAGATAATGATTATGAAGGAAAGAAAATGGAATTAAGGGCACAATTAGCTTGGGTTTGCCCTTGGAGCTAAGCTTAAAAACTTAGAAACAGTATACTTGAAAAATCACACAGATACACGAAATTAACAGTCCAAAGTAACAAAATAACTTGGTTTATTATCTGATCTAACTAGTCTACGCGAGGTCGCTTTTCAGAACTATGTTCATTGTCCAAAGCTTGATCTTCTCCACTCGAGAGAGTCACAGGTTGGTCAGTATTCAAAGCATTTTCTCCAATCGAAAACCCACCCAGGAGAGTAAAGTAATACTCATCAATGACTCTTCTGACAATAGCATTGCGTTCAACATGCTCTCCAATCTCATCACCAATCGGAGCCTTAGCCAAGCCCTTAAACGTTATGTAGACAATTACACTTTTGGCCTTGAGTCTTCCATTCGGTGGCTGCACATCTTCTTCTTTAGTTCCTATTGCCACTTTCAGAATCCGCAACTTGGACAGATCATTCTGAATGCAACAACAGTTTTGAAACAAGACAAAACTGTTATATTATTAACAACAATGGCACTGATCATGGTATGTCATTTTTATGCAAAAGAAACACAAAAACCTCTGAAGTCATCTTACGACGTCCACAAACTGCAAGATTCAAATAAAGACGAATCCAATCATTGGATT